CTGTACATTGAGATGGCATGTTCTGCATCCACTGAATTGGTTGAAATCTTAAGGCGTTGTTTTGCCAAGTTGTAGAGATGTGAAAACTGATCAGAAACAGACTTCCAAAGAAGTCACAGTCAAAAGCATCTGGCACTCATTGACAAAGTTTACATAGGCAACACATTCCTTGTCATGCTCCTTCTGCCAACCAGGGATAGATTTCAGTAGCTGAGGGTCAAAATTCAGAAAAGACACCTCATTTGGTCAAAAATGTGAACAGCATTCAAAAGGAGGCAGCAGGTTGTTTAAACTATAGTAATAGTGACTGATCATACTTGTACTAATTCAACTTTGCAACTATTGCCTGGAACACTTCTTGTCTCCACTGCTTTTCATGTTGACAGTTTGAAAGTTGTTGTGTTGTTCAACCCAGTTTAACAAATCCATCAGCTTGTTCTGTGCTTTGTGGATCAAAACCTTCCAACTTTCAAACCATGTTAGAAGCTCCATGAACTTAATTGCATATTTCAGCTGCAAACTTAACTTGATCTTCAATGTCACCCCATCTTAAAAGATCACATCATTTAAGCACACACTGTCTGTCAAGTGTGACTTCACGCTCCTTGCACACAAATTGTTCATGATACGTTCTATTCTTTGCACGGGAACAAACTGAGTTAAACTACAAATTCCACCTTGTAAGCACTGGTTCCAGTGGAAGTGATGTAGTCAAATGCAGATCCTCTCTTTGATTAATAATAGACTCCCTGTATCAAAGCTTATGGCCTGCTCAATGTTTGAACACCTTTTAAAAAAGAGGAAACCAGACTATCCACATCAGGAAAACTTGTGCTTCAGATGTCACTTGCTAAAGAAATGGTGTGTGCAGGTGACATGAATTGCATTGGGCATCACTCCATGAACCATATCAGAGAAAGCTTTGCACGTATAAAATGCATTATCAGATACAAATGCTGAGATCTTGTTAAATTCTAAGTCATAGTTTATAACAGCCTTCATTACATCTTGTGCCATGGAAGAAAAATGGATAGACACAAAATGAACTGGCTCTGTTTGAAAAACTGGAAGTTGGTGGTCTCTCCTAGTTCCCAGGAATGAAAAAAATGCAAACAGCCAGAACATAAATATCTTGGGCATCTGTTTTGTTTGCTACAATTAAAGTTTATTCATGTTCTGCCAATACAGATTTTGTAGACTGAACATAAAAGCAGTTACTCCTGGTAGATGCTCTTGACAAAGCTTTTTTGCACATGGGAAACTGCCAGCATTTGGCACTTATTTGTACAAATAGTCCCTTAACTTAGGGATATTAATTGTCTCCAAGGGAATGTTGGCACCTGTGAATGCCTCCACTAGCAGCCTTTTCTTTATATGTGATTTGGACTCTAAATGCTGATCAGTGCTGTTTTTCCTCAACATATCCAGAGTCACAATGCACAATGAACAAGACAATTTACCACCATATGCATGCAAAGCTCCTACAGGGAACTGCCTTATACAATCCTGAGCTGAAATGTATTTGGCTTTCTTGGATTTATTTTCACTCATCATCTTCAGACTGCAGCATTGGTGCATCATTGCATCTGGCTTCTTAGAAGATGGCTCTGAAACCCTTTTGCTTTCCAGACTGGTGCCTTCACTAAATATATGTCGCTCAGCCTCTTAGAAGCTCTCTTGCAACCCACCTGTTCTGTGGCTGCAGGGATTGCCTTTCTTTCTTTGTATTCTGGTAAGCTTTTTTTTTTTTTCTCAGGTGATTCTGCACAAAATTGCCAGAAATACCATTTTACATGGTGACTGCAGAAACCACCAGTTGTTGTGGTTTGTGGTTTCCGTGAAAATCATAAAACAGCAATTTAAGTAGGTCCCTATATGTCATGAGTATCTGCTCACATCTCTATAATTTGATATCACTTTTGAGTCGTTCTGCAGGCATTACAATGCAGCTGCTTCTACAGTCAAACTGGAATCTGACTGATTGCTGCTTTATTAGCATAGCTGCAAATATAGCTGATGACTATAAATGGGCGAGGGGTGGTGCAAGAGAAGCTTGAGCTCTACTGACAGCACAGCTGTAGGCTAGAACCCATGCTCCCCCTCTTTTCCAGCCTCACTCTCCTGGCTGATGCTCTATATCAGTAGTTTTCAACCTGTGGGAGGGTCCACAGACTATGTGTAAGGGGTCTGTGAAAGATGACTATGACCTTGGAAAGCTTGGACTGGACAGGGGTTACCTTTATAAGCCTGATTTTTTTTTTTTTTACCTGCCCATTTTCCTGTGCCTTTAAAACCTAGAGCTATTGGAAGGTGCTAAACTGATAGATCTTTGTTCCCAGAGCAGTGAGGATGGGACTAAATCAGCCCACATACTTCCTGTTCACACATGCACACTCAACCCATGAGTGAAACACAGGTCTGCAGGTACTCCCTCATAAGGGAAAGACACTCCAGAAAGGCTTTGCCACTCCTGGCTCTGGCAAGGTTCTCAGTTTTACCTACTAATCAATGACACTGTGCTAGGCAGTTCGTGCTGAATGGTAGAGATGGATAAAGTAGGAAAGCGTGAATCTGAACCAAGTCTCCCACCAAATATTTCTAGATTTTGAGGCATTCTTAGACAGATCATGGCTTGGGTCAGTCAAAGAAATGGACTCAGATATGTAGTAGATCATCTTGAATCTTGTTATCTGTGTTGCATCAACCTAAAGTCCAGAACATGGCCCCTGAATGATGGTTATTAACTCATGCCACTGAGCAGGTAGGAAGAAAAATGGGGACGAGTGAACATCCATGTGGTAACTCCCCCAGGGCAGAAGTGAGCACCACTTCCCTACAATTTTGTAGGGAGCCCTACAGTTTTCTAATGGTAGGAGTAGTAAGAAGCCAAGGTGGTAGCTCCTAGCTCCAAGTAGCATCTATCAGGGCTGCTTGGGGAGGGATGGGGGGGGCAACTGGGGCAATTTGTCCCAGGCCCATGCAAAGCAAGGGCCCCCTGCCTCAGCTCCTGTGTGTACCGCTGGCCCCATGCCCTGTGACATTGCTCAGCAGAATTCTTGGTATTTTCTTGTCATAAAAAATGGAAATTGGTGTAGTAGAGTGTAAAATGACACTGAGTCATTCTCAACTTGTCATTGTGACATTATGGGACCCGTCCCTGACCATGAAGTAAATATTACATATAATTGTGTGTGAAACAGATGCTAATTTGAGGCTGAAGTGACTGTTGCATTGATGTCAAAGGGGGAGTCTAAACCAATCATGGTGAGGTAACATCTTTCTTTATTTCTGGGCAGCAATAGACACAAGATTGATCAGGAAGGCTTCTGATTGGCCTCACCACGGGCCTAGGCCAAGGAGCCCTGGTTACAGAGACTGTTGAGAGGAGAGAAGGAACAGGGAAGGTTTAAGGAGGGATCTGTGGCAGAGCCGGCCTGTTGCCACAGAAAGACCTCGAGTTCAATTGTGAGTGAATGTCAGCTCTGTGGGTTCTTAAGGGCCAAAGTCAGAAATGTATTTGCAAGGATATAATAATTAAAATGATATACATTGTTTTCTTTATATTTGCCAAGCAAAATAACAACGTTGGACATGACACACATTCAGGTTCACATATTTCCCCACTTCAAAAAGTACTTAAATGGAAAGTGTGTATATGTCTCTTGGGGGAAAAAATATTAAAGTCCTTCTTGATTGAAGAAGCCTGTGCTCCAAACCGCAAATCTTGCTTTCAGTATTGCAGAGATTACTTGTTCCCTTTTTGTCCTTCAAACAGCAGCAGTTGCTTACTAAGGCCCATAAGAATATGAACAGTCTCACAATGCCCTTAATCAAGGGGTTAAAGGCTAAATATGCAAGTTTATTCTCCAGCAACAGTACCAAGACAATCCTCCTTCCTCTGTCTACTCCCTTTGCAGTTACTTTCTTTTTCCTTAAACAGGGGCAGGGCCTGCTTATCCTCTGCCAGACCCACAAGCCTGAACCAAGTACAGCCCAGCTTATGGGGGTTACATGAGCACCAGCTAAGATTTCCAGGCAAGGTCCCACTGGACAATTTTTTGTGGCAGTTACCACAGGAAAAAGGCCTAGGAGTGGTGTGAGGCCAGGACTTAAGGGAGACATCCTTCCTTCCTGAGTAGTGGAGGAGGCCAGCCAACAGGCCACCTGTGGGACTGAGCCGGGCCCCAGGAAACTGGTAGGAGAGTGAAGCTCTGTCAGAAGTGGTTTGGAATTTGGAGGTGCTCAGAAGAAGTACAACCCTATTCCTATCCCCTTATCCCCATGTAAGAAAAAATGAAGCGCACCTATCAATCCAGGGCATCAAAAAGAAAGGAGACAAAGGAGAAAAAAGCTCAGGATGAAAAGGGGAGGCAGACACTGGATCAGTTTGGATGAGTGGTGAAAATAAATAAGGAAGTTGGAAGTGGAACAGGTGATGCAGGTGGCACATCACTTGCAGGAGATGAAGAATATTCTGATCGTGAAAACATCACAAAGGAAGCAAGCAGTGATGTGGTAGGAGAATGTGAAAATGAGTCAGGTTTGGTGGTGCAAGCTGGAGCAGATATAGTATCAAATGAGAAAAATGAGACAATTGATCTGGTTTCCGGATCTGCACCTGAGCTTCACCAATTCTGGTCATCTTCAATATTATTTATAGTGGAAAGATCTTGCAAATGGTCTTTGTGGAAAAGGAGCCATTGATAGTGCCCTTGAAAAGGGTATACATTCAGAGAAGGAAAAGTGGCATAAAGTGTTACAAGGTCTGGTTGACGTTACCGTGTTTCTGACAGAGCGAAATTTGCCAATCCGAGGATCACATTCTACCCTAGAGCATGACAACTGCAGGTTCTTCCTTTCTACTCTACAGTTCATCAGGAAATACAATCAAGATCTGAACTGTGACCTGGAAACTGTTACAGAACATCCAACGGCTGGGGTGTATCCATTGAATAGGAGACCAAGTGGAAGTGGGGAGTCTAAATGAGAGATAACGCCATATTTTTTTTTCCAATGCATTCAAGAAAAAACAATGCCAGAAAAGAGGCTTGTGAACCAAAGCTGAGACTTTGTTTCTAACTACCCTGTTTTTGGTTATGTTCTATTACAAGATCAGTATCAAGCTAGATTTCCTCTTTCTGCTGCTATTCAACTGACAGAGCATAAAAAGGACACCACTTCCTCCCTGAGGACAGAAAATCACGATAGTTTTAGCTGAAAGTATTTTGAGTTATATCTGGCTAGGAGTCACATTCTGGCATAGCCAAGAGATTTAAGAAGGGAGAAAGAAGGAAGATGTCAGAAAATATCATGTATGCTGACCTGAACTTTCCTGCAGTAGCGGGGTTGGGTTCAAGGCTGCCAAAGGACAATGACACTCAGGCAGGTAAGTCAATGCTTGATGTACTGTGTACTGTACCTGGGTCACATTTTGGGATGCTACAAGTGTTGTGGAGAGACAAAACCACAGCTCGTGGGATAACGGGAAAGGGAAGGAAAGGGACCCTGGTGAAGGGAGGAAAAATGAGGCACCATGCAAACTTGCTCCCAAATACGTAATGTGGTTTTAATTCATGCGGCTAGTAATATCTGTTCAAGTCTGAAAGTGAAATAATCTTATTTCAGATTAAAGATGCATTATATTCAGTTAGCAGAAACAGATTTTGAAAAACTACAATGCATTACAGTAAGATCTTGTTAATTCTTCACTGGGCTTGGTAATGATGACTACTTATCCTTAGGAGCCTGATTGTCAGTAGTTAGCCATTTTTTAACTTTTTGTGATCTGTATTATGCATGCCATTTCAAGGCACAGCAGATTTTTCACATGTATAGTGATAAAAATACATATCACAAACATTCCAGATATAAATTGCAGTTATTCTGATTTTCTATATGAGAACTGAATAAATATAAAGGCATAATATATAATTTCTTATCATAAAAATGTAGTTGTTTACTACATAAGAATTACATGATTATGATCGGTGCAAATTTTGCTTTGCACCCTTACATAGACTCATCACCAAAACATAAAAATAATTCTGCAGTATGGAACAACTGATCATTAATGCTTTTTGTGCCATAAATTGGTGGGGGAGGGGTCGATTTATAAGGTGATCTGAAGGACAGGGTCGGCACTTTTTAAGATGACTAATAGTAAGAATCAAACTCCATGATACGTGTGTACATTTGGAAGTGTCTAATTAACAGATGATGAATTATCCAAAGGGTTTTGTGTACTAATCAGTATGATGCTGGTGGGTGTTTGAGGGATTTTGGAGATGTGCTTTGGGAAGGATGGGGAGAAGACACTTTAATTAGCACAGATCTGAGAAAGCTCGAGTCTGCTCTGATGTGCTGTAATTACAGCGTAGCAGAGCAGCCTCCCTGCATGTCTATAAGAGCCCTATGTACCCTGAGTAATAAGGCCATAATGACTAGTTATTCCAGTGACTAAAAAACACTGTATTCTGAAATAAATCATCCCCATACAAACCTTCACTGAACTGATAAACCATGGAGGGAATTCCAAACAATTCTATTCCTCACCAAGAATAGGTGAGGGTATAGCTCAGGGGTAGAGCATTTGACTGACCAGGTCACAAATTGCTTAGATGCAGGGGTCAAGGTAGATGTCATTTACTTGGATTTTAAGAAGGCCTTCAATATGGTATCTCATCCTATTTTCAGAAATAAACTGTGTGTCTGTGAAGTAGATGATCACACAATCAGGTGGGTGGCAAATCGACTTAGGGGTCACACCCAGAAAGTGGTGGTGGACGGGTCAGTATCAACCTGGAAAGATGTGGGCAGTGGGGTCCCCCAAGGCTTGGTCCTTGGACCTGTGCTGTTCATTGTCTTCATCAGTGACTTAAATGAAGGTATGGAGAGCACTCTGTCCAAATTCATGGATGATACCAAATTATGGGGTAAAGTTAACACACCAGAGGGTAGGGAATGAATCCAGGCAGATCTGAACAGGTTGGAAAAATGGGCAGAACAAAATAGAATGCAGTTAAACAAAGGCAAGTGCAAAGTGCTGCACCTAGGGAGAAGGGGTCACCAGCACACTTATAGGCTGGGGGAAGACCTTCTCAGCAGCACAGCAGCAGAAAGGGATCTCGGAGTCCTTGTTGGCACCAGAATGAACATGAGTCGTCAATGTGATGAAATGAGCAGTAAATGTAACCGCACTTTATCATGTAGGTGCATGATAAACAGGTCCAGGGAGGTGATACTCCCCCTCTATGCGGCATTAGTCAGGCCTCAGTTGGAGTACTGCATCCAGTTCTGGGTGCCACACTTCAAGAGGGATGTGGACAATCTCGACACGGTTCAGAGGAGGGTATGATTAGAGGCCTGCAGGCAAAGCCCTGTGAGGAGAGATTGAGGGACCTGGATCTCTTCAGCCTCCACAAGAGAAGGCTGAGAGGTGATCTTGTGGCCGCCTACAAATTCATCACGGTGGGGGCAGGAGGCAGCAAGGAATAGGAGATGCTGTGTTTAGCAGGGCACCCCTTAGAGTAACTAGGAACAATAGCCACAAACTGATGGAGAGCAGATTTATGTTAGACATCAGGAAGCACTTCCTTACGGTGAGGGTTGCCAGAATCTGGAATGGGCTTCCAAGGGAGGTGGTGCTCTCGCCTACCTTGGGGGTCTTTAAAAGGAGGATAGACATGCACCTTGCTGGGGTCATCTGACCACAGCACTCTCCTGCCCTGGGCAGAGCTCTTTCCTGCCCAGGGCAGGGGGTCGGACTTGATGATCTACTGAGGTCCCTTCCAACACAAACATCTATGAATCTATGAATGCTTTAGAGCATCGTTCTATGATGATCTATCTACCTGAGAGAGTAGTAGAGACTGCCAGCTTTGTTCTCTGCTGTTGTCTACCAAAATTGAAGTTTTTTTTAAAGAGAAAGTTAGAAAAAACATTTGTCCAGAAGGGTTTCCACATTCTGGTTTACATCACTTAGCAGAGGGTTGGGCTAGATTTGAACAATCTCCTGATGTCCTTTCTACCCCCTACTCTTCTTTGATTCTGTGATTCTACCTCAGTTAGTTTGACTATATTCCTAATCATTTAGGAACTGAACCCTACTTAGGTTTAAATGGAAACAGGAACATCTTCCCAGCTTTCTATGTCAACGTAACTACCTCATTTTAAAATCGTGCCTTAGACTGGCCCCAGTGAAGCTCTACTCAGACAAACTTCTTTTGTCTTCCTTTCATTTCCTACTTCTTTCTTTTCTTGACGGATAAGTTAGTTCAGTTTCCATCACACCCTCACTCTTCACCTTGCCTGACCCATGACTCTTCACAGCCCATTCTGAAGGGTGTTGTTCAGTTTAGTGTTAAATGACTCAGGAAACTGGGGTCTCCATTGCTGCACCAGATTATTCTAGAGCCTAATAGACAAACTAGTCTACATTGCTCTGCTTTTGCTTTTCATGTGCTAACAGCCCATCATTATGAAGTTTCCTCTTTGTGGTCCTGAAGCTAATCTATAAATAGCCCACTTCTCACCATTTTGTTTAAGAGGAGAGCAGAATGGGTGCAAAACCTGGATGCCCTTCTGGATTTGTTTGTGCTTTGCACAGGTCTGTAACTAACTATACTGGGTGCAGGGAGAGAAGAAGCAGACGCTACATTTCTTTGTACGTTCTGGACATGAGGAAAATCAGGCAACATGAAGAATTTCACAAAGCATCTAGATTTCTACTTTTTTTATTTGTTTTCATGACATTTTCCCCTTTCAATTAAACTATTTGTTTTTTCTCAAAGGGAATCTAGTAATCGAAATGCCAGAAAGCAATGTAGCCATTAGATAAATAGAAGACCTTCCTGAAGACTGCAGAGTGTAGCCAGTGGCTTGGAGATGCAGCAAAGTAGGTTTAAATTGGGTATCAGGACGTCTTGCTGGTAGGTCTTGCTGCTTCTCTCAGGGTCACACCAGTCCCCACACTTGGGGTCAGGAATTGATTTTATCCTAGAGCCAGATTGGTGTAGATTGTAGGGGAGGGGGGTCTTTTGTAGTTGTGGACGTGCCCTCTTAGATCTCTTACGTGGATTTTAATTCCCTGTCACAATGGAACACTAGCTGCTATTATTCCCCTGCTTTACTTACTTCATGTGAAGGTGTAATTCTTGTGGTTGTGTGTCAGAGCCAGCTGTGTAGGTTTACTAATACATTAGATGACGCTGTATGTAGGAGGGTTTGGGTCAGGAAAATCCTTCCTTGGGCAGGGGGTTGAACTAGATATGACCCCTTGAGGAACCTTCCTCTGCTTTTCTATTATTCAAAATATCTTTTTTTTTGTCTTTTTTAAAACATCTCCCCCCCCCTCTTATGTTAGTCAATATTCGCCCAGAACTGACCACTGCATTCTTAACTGGATGAAATTTGACCCTGTGCAGCAGGCCACCAGCAGGCCCATGTCTTAAACCCATGTAAGAAGGCAATGCCACCTGGTCATAACAGTAAAAACCTGTCACTCTGCCTTACAGCATGATTGCTTGAAATATGCAACCAAAACCTGTGCTCACCTTTTACATGCCTCCAGTGAGTAAAATAAAACAATACAAAACTCCTGCTGTCCAGTTCTCTGTTTCTCTCTCTCTCTCTCTCTCTCTCTCTCTCACACTCACACACACACACACACACACACACACACACACACACACCCTTTCCCTTATGTACAGTACTAGTCTCTATTCACTTCTCCCCTTACTTATAACCTCCAAACATCCTTTCAGGTTCATTCTCTTGCCTTTCTATTGCTGATGACAATCCCAAATCTAGTGTAATCTTCAGATTTAGGGACCAGTTATCTTTTGTAGGCAGGCACACATAGGTAGCAGCTTCTTAGAGAGCCAAAAGAAGAATGGTTATGTTTTGCACTGCCCCCGTGCAGGGGTTAAAGGTGATACAAGGGGCTGGAGAATTAGTTCCTTTTCAGACCAGCAGTGATGCTGGTTATACCAAGTGCCAGAAGTGGATGCATCATTACGAAGTTCAGGACTAGCCCTGCCTTCTGTAGCACTCCACGAGGCACCTCCCTCAAGCTTTCCCTTTACAAGAAGCAAATGCAGTATATTTAAGACTTCAGGGAGAATATTAGTAAGGTCTCTGTATGAAGCAATGTATGCACGTGCACAATTGCATATATCTCCTCTGTTGATGTCTGCACTGAACAGAAGCTGAAATGGATGCCTTTCTGCTTGTAGCCAGTACTTCAGAGACATAGTGCTGCAAACATGGAAAACAGCAACCTAACTGGGATGCTGCTGAGTGCAATTCAAAGATGTTGCAGTTATTGGTTACCCTTTGATTATGGTCCCTTAGTGAGTTTTTATTCCATTCCAGTTTCTTCTTCTCGCTCATTCGCATCTGTATGTTTGTTTGCTTTTCTTTCCTGTTTTGAGGTCCTGTATATGCAGAAGTGAAATTGAAACCCCTGGACACAAGCAGCTTAAATACCTGTGCAGCACCTGGTGAGTCTTCTGAAGCAGTAGTGCTCAAACTTTTGGCCCTGTGGACCAGATGAGTGTGGTGAGTCCAGTCTATGGTCAGTGTACTATGGGTCTCTGGCACCCAGGGGCCAATGCTTGCATTTTCACCCCCACCCCCGGCCTTTGCGCCGGGAACTCCTTCCTTCCTGCCCTGGCCCTGTTTGGTTACCTGTTTCGGTTAAGAAGAAAATGAAAGTCCCAGCACACTGAATGCAGGAATTTCTGGTTAGAACAAATAAGTAAACACCCAACCCATGGGGTGGGCGGCCAGTTTAAACAACAAACGCATCTGCGACCCATGCAATAAGAACTCTGAAGGGCCTGGCCGGCGCTCCCCACCAGGCCGGCGCTCCCCCTATGGCTCCCTTTCCACCACATCAGTACTCTACTGTCTGTGGGTTGTATCAAGTTCCATTTGCCAAGATCAGATCCTGGGGCCTGCCCCCACCCTGTGCTGCCCACATGTGCTGGGACTGATCCCTAGAGGGCAGATTAGCATTGCCCCTGCCTAGCCATGCACATGGGGTTTGGGTGCCTGATTCAGCATGCAGGACCTGGATGTCTCCATTGATACAGAAATTTGTCAGTGTAGAAGTTGTGCTACCATTCTCCCACCACCAAATTTCCAGATGAGTGGGGAGACCTATGGACTAGATGACATAGGGCTGTGGGACAGATCTGTCGTGTGGGATGGGGGTTGAGCACCCTAGTTATAAAGTGGATGGTGTTTAAGCAAGAAGTAGTGGGTATCAGGTCTTATGTTCCCAGCGCACAGCTAGTGAAGCAAGACAGTGTGGGTGCATACCTATTTCATCCACAAGTGCGGGGCAGGCAGGAAGGTTGCAGCTCAGACACTATTGAACTACATTAATTGTAACTGGTCTTGTCTGAGGAAGTCCCAAAGTGATTAGAAAAATACTGTTGTATCTGTACTGTACACAGGACCTCAGGCACTTAATGAAATGCATGCCATGGATGAATGTAAGATTTTTACTTGTGCTGAGGTGCATCATATTTTCATAGTTGTTTCATAGTTGGTAGGGCCGGAAGGGACCTGAGCAGATCATCAAGTCCAACCCCCTGCCATGGGCAGGAAAGAATTCTGGGATCAAACAACCCCGGCAAGGTGTCTATCTAGCCTCCTCTTAAAGACCCCCAGGGTAGAAGTGAGCACCACTTCTCTTGGAAGTTGGTTCCAGATCCTAGCTGCCCTGACTGTGAAGTAGTGCTTCCTGATGTCTAGCCTGAACCTATTCTCAGTCAACTTGTGGCCATTATTCCTAGTTATTCCTGGTAGTGCTCAGAGGAACAGGGATTCTCCCCTTCCCTGCTGGTCCACCCTGGTAAGTTTATAGGCGGCCACCAGATCCCCTCTCAGCCTTCTCTTGTGAAGGCTGAACAGGTTCAGGTCCCATAACGTCTCCTCGTAGGGCCTGCCCTCTTGCCCCCTGACCATGCGAGTGGCCCTCCTTTGGACCCTCTCAATGCTGTCCACATCCCTCTTGAAGTGTGGCGCCCAGAACTGGACACAGTAATCCAACTGCGGCCTGACCAATGTCTCATAGAAAGGGAGAATCACCTCCTTCGACTTGCTTGTGGTGCATCTGTGGATGCATGACAAGGTGTGGTTAGCCTTAGTGACTGTGTCCTCACATTGGCAGCCCATGTTCATCTTGGAATCAGTAATGACTCCAGGATCTTTTTCTGCCTCTGTGCTGATGAGAAGGGAGTTCCCTAGCCTATAGGTATGCTATAGGTATCATCATATAAAAGACAACACCAATTTTTTCTCAAGTTAAAGAGAAAGTAAAATCTTTCCTAATATGCTAGCAAAGCAAAAACAAATGTAACTTTATAGGAGTGCATACTAATTTGCTAGTTCATATGTACAGTTTTAAAAAAACACAACTAGTCACACTAGTTAAAATACTTTGTATTATTAGTCCCATAATCATTATAATTAAATATATCTCTCTTATTCATATTCCTCACAGTGCAGCCAACGCTTCACTTTTGGTTATTCCACACCTCAATTAATGTTCATCTGAGCTAATATTACCACATCTTAGTTTAGTTTTCAGATACATGTGAAAAACAGTCTACCGGGCTGTGAAATAGAAGACAGAGATTGCCAGGCATAGCTAACAGACAGCACACTTTCAGAAGAAATGTAGTTTGATTAGTGGTACATTAAGAAGTAGAGAGAGTGATTAACACCTGTGCAGTGAAGATAGATTTGCAGGAATCAGGTAGATTACAGTGATCCATAAGTCAATCACTTCCAAAGCAGCCAGGTGTAACCACAGCAGAAGTGTGTTTTAGTTAATAAACCCAATACATTGTACTTGGAATGCGTTGATGGAGCTGGTCTGTTGACTTTCTGAATAAAAGGGGATATTTTTCCAAGCTGTCTTTCAGGGCAAAATCACCTACAAACTAAGCTTCCTTTGGGCACTAAACTTTGCAAAGATATTTTTATTTCTGGGAGATTTCCTCCAACTTCCTAATTCTGATTAAAGTAAAAAAAAAATAGAGGTAACAGCCTTTCGGTGCATCAGCCTTTCTGGAATAAGTTGAAGAGAGAAGCTGAGAATGATAATGAGGAAGAAGAAAATTAGCTTGGTCATCCAAGGTGTGTCAAAACAGGCCACAGTGTGGGTTAGAGGCAAGAGGAAGAGTTAGAATGTCTTTATATAGAGCCATAGCAAATAATGACAATTTCTTCCCCAGGTCTCATGAGCCAAGAAGTAAATACATCTACCAAAGAACCAAGTCAGCATAAGCCAGGTAAATAAATATGCCAGTAGAGGGTTGAAGTTGGAAGAGATGGAGAAGCCTCCTTGACACTTTAGTGTCATGGCTGCCTAGTTCACATAGTCCCTGAACATCCAGGTGGCCTCCCTCCAAATCTCCCATGGCTCTCTGCTACTTGGTCAGCTCTGTGCTGATTTAACAGGCTCCCTGTAATGTTGGGATTACATTGAAATAAACCTAGGAAGAAACCCCAAAATGGGACAGTCACAGACAGGATGGGGGAAGGAGAAAAGAGAAAGAGAGCACATCTCCACTGTGAGATTGACAGTGACTGGGCACTCTAATAGTAACAGGCCTCATTTGGTATGGCAAGGTTGGTCTTGGTCCTGCATTTCCAAACCCTCCTGACTAACTTCTGAGCAGTAGTGTGGGGTCCAGCCAGTGGTGCAAAGGTTACAGCTGTCCTCACAAGGAGAGAGCCCCATTGGGACTGGAAGATATTCAGGTCTCAGATGAGTCCACAGGGTGCAGGTCTACACCTGCACCCTTAAGGGTAAGGTAATTAACCTCCAGGTCCCTAAGGAGGGTCTACACATGTCCACTCTTAATGCACCTTAATTATATCAATTTAGGGTGATCTGAGAGTAAATTTGATACCTGCACAAAGCAGCTATACAATTTACACTGGAGTAGTTAAGGCACCTTAAGCCACGTGTAGACTTGACATGGCGCCTTAACGCTCTGTCCACTCCTCCAGGCTCAGTCAAACCCAGGAGGCTGGGTGCTGCTGGAGCTGCCATCAGGAAGAAGGATAGCTGAAGAAAGAGTATGTCTCTGCCTCAGCACGGGGTTGCTGGCCGGGCAATGCTGAGCCTGGAGGAGCTGACGCTGCTTGCTTCCTTGCTGGACACTCCTGGGAGAGAGGCAGCCTGGGCATGCTGAGCACAGTGTGGGGTGGAGGAGTCCTGCCCAGTGCTAGAGCAGCACTGGAGAAAGCCCCGCTGGGCTGGAGCTCCACTGCGCTGGAGCCACGCTGGCTGGAAAAAGCAATGCAGCGCCAGGCACTGGGGTAGATTCAGCCCCAGCCTTCCTGCTCTCTGCAGGGGAACTGCAGCACCAGCTTCTAAGGCTAAGGGCACCCGAATTGAAGGGGGGGAGGGCAGTAAGACATTGCCGGGCCAGGCAGACAGTAGCGGTAGCAACACCCCCGCTTCCCCCTGCTCTCCTCTGCTGCAGAGGGACTTAGAGCCCAGCCCGGCCGTGTGGGGAGCAGCTTTGGGTGATGACGAGGGCAGCCTGCAAAGGCATTCACCCAGCAAGCTGCGTTAAGGCACCTTAAGGCATCCGCATGTAGGCTTACTCCGCATTAATGCAGTTGTAGCCATGCCCAGTGTATCACAGAGGGTGCATCTACACTAAATGTTTATGACACAGCTGACTAATTAACTGCACAGTAAATATCTGCCCATCTACGCATCTACTCCTAGTAGGGTGCATAAAACTAACTCCACAGCAGGATAGTTTTGTAAAATACTCCCCACATGGCCTGCTGTGTCTTTTTTTGTTTTGTGCCCAGCAGTGCATGTGTAGACTCTGCCCCTGCTGGCTGGGTCACATTGTGGGGAGTTAGTTGGTAGGTAACCCCTGTGCTGAGGCACACTGCCCCAGCCACCCACACAGGAACACATGGAGGCCGGTTGGAGTACCACTGGGCTGGCAGGATGGGTCTCCTACCAGCCAGGACTGCTCTGACTGGGTTCAATGTGCCGTGCATGAATAAACTCTGAAGCTATATGCTCAGGAGTGTTTTGTTCCTGGATGCACCATTTGAACAAACACTGAGGAGCAAAAAAACTCCAGAGCAATTAGCCCCTGTGTTTATTCCTGCACTGTAATTGCATGTCTAGACATGCCCAGAGAGAGGAAACAGGAAGCAGTTCAGTGCTGTGGGGCTTAGTGTAGCTTAACAAGATTTCATTCAGCTGCTGAGCTCAGAGAGTGGAAGGGAAAGGAATATAATATGGGCATAGATTGAGAAGGGGAAGGGTTTCTTTCCCAGTTGTTCCTTCCTCAGATTTGTCCTCCTCTCTGCAGGTGGGAGGCATTGCTCCAGGGTCTGTGCCCTTGCAGTGGGAGCTGTGACAATCCTCCTCCTGGTTACAGGTGTGACGCTGATAGTTGTATGTAAGTATTGCTGAAAACGCCACAAATGCTTTGATTTGTCATGTCCTTGTGGCTGGCATATGCCATTTACGATTCCTTGTCCCCAGGTGGGATCTAATTCATGATACCCACAGCCCAGAGCAGCAGCTAGCTGATTTAATGATAAGTCCATCACTGTAAGACTCCATTACACAGCCCCTGGGTCTCATGCCTACCAACACACAGAGATAAATATCATAACTGATGTGAGACTTACAGGCTAAAAAAGTCATCAGGACAGCAAGCCCCCTCTGCAGCTGCCACAGGTAAGCCAAGGACATGTCAGTCTACTTCAAAAACAGGCCAGACAGCCTGTCTAATTGTGGTTTGGGGGAGACCCTGGTAGTATATCAGCCCCTGCTGGGGAGATGGATTTATCAGGCTCAAATGTCTCACTCGGGTTGCTGCAGGCAGGAGCAGACTGTAGCAGCGACACCCAGACAAATGGTAACACACTTGGGGGTACAGATTGACCACAAGGCCAGGGCCAGACCTTTGTCTGCTCATCACTGTCTACCTGGCCAGGTGTTTAGGTATGCTCTGTACCCAGCTTGCTGAGGTGCATTAAAAAGCTAGCTACTCATTTTGGTGAGTCTTGGAAATGAGCTATTTGGAAAACTTGGCCCATTTTGTATCAATATATTAATCAGGGGCTAGGGATGAGGGAGGCAAAGGTGAGCAGACCACATACCACCGGGATTTTCCCTGAAAGCAAATGCCCTCCGTGAACAGAACAGAACCTTCGGAAACATGAGCAGCCATTCGACATGGAGATTAAAGGCAGAATATTTTTGACTTTACAAAGCCATGTGTCTTGTCACTTATACACGAATAGCGATTTTACTTCCTCTGCATTATGAACCAGTAGGGTGTACTCAAAGACTGAGCATATGCAGTAAATTACCATATTTACTCAAATATAAGATGAGGTCCCCCACAATCTTCATGGGAGGAAAAGTCCCTCGTCTCACATTCACATACAATGTGGAGGGGGCAGCAAGCCTCTGTTCTGGTTCCGACTCTAGTCCTGAGCCTGAGTTAGGGCCGACTCAGACTCACAGAAGCCTCTTGCCACTCCCCTCCAAGCCTTCCCTCCCACTCCTGGCAGGCACAGCTGGGCTCTGTCTCAGGCTGGAGTCACTCCTGGCACAGAGCACATGGAAACTTCTTCTCCTGCCCGACCAATCAGCAGAGTGGACACTGCTGATACATAACCTGGCAGAGGCTAAGCTTCCACATGGTTTGCTCCTGGATGGAGCAGCCTGACCACCATCTGACAGTAAGAGAGGGGCGGCAGGGGGGCAGAAGAATCAGAAACTGAAGGGAGCATGAGGAGAAGGCCATGGGATGGGGGAAGTCGTGGGGTGGTAGATGCAGAGACTGGGGACAGCTGGGGGAGATGCGTGGTTGTGGGGCAATGGGGGTAGGGGGCGGTGCAGGTGGCAGGGGGAAAGGAAGGCTACAGGGGAAAGAAGTGGGGGGGGCAGAGGGCAGGTTGGCCATCTGGTCACCCCCCAACACTTTTCCATGCTGTGGCAAGGTGTGGTGGGGATTCAAGACCATCCTCCAAATCTTAGATTCTATATCTGCAAAATTATAATGAATGTATAAATTTTCCATGTGTAGAACCTAGCTACAGTTATCTCATATTTAAGAAATACAGTATCAGTTGCCTGAGCATGTATGAATGCCCATTGTAGATACATACTTGTGTGTAAGAATAAGCACATAGCCTAAGAATACGTACATAGCCCGCCATAAACCCATGACTAAGAGGTGTAGAGAGCCCTCACATGTTTTTGCCTCAATAGCTGAGTAATTAGGGCATGCATCCATATGGACATGGACAAAGGCTCTAGGATCCCTTCACCTAGAGGAGGTTTGAACCTGCATCTTTCTCTGACTTCCCAACGCAGTACTCTAAATACCATACTACAGGTCAGGCATGATTGAGATGCTTGTCCAGTGCTCCTTGTTGTAGCTGGCCACTTGGACAACCAAGACTGTGAGATATGTGGAGGCAAGGGGAAATGAGCACCCAACAAGCTGTGCGCCAAAGTAAGGCAGATGGCAATCTGGGAGAAAGCACAACTTGTGTTCTAGCCTAGAGATTTGTTCCCATTTGGGAAAAGAAATTCCCATTTCACTGGTCTTATTCCAGGTTATCCAATGAGTAGTAAAAGCAGGGAGTAGTGCCTCAGTTTCAAGCAGCGCAGAGTGGGGCAGGGACTAGCCATTACATAACTTATGGTATGGTTGCTGGAGAACTGTGCTAAGAAATCAAAAAAATGCAGGTTCAAGTCACCTCAGCAGGGGCCTGGAGAACCTGGGGTTGCTGCTTCCAGGACAAGTGTGCCAGTTATGGCTGAAACATGGGAGAGCTGGCATTCTCCCGTGTATCAAGTTTCTGGGACTTCAAATCAGGTGCGTGCCTACATAGCCACAACTAGAACCAGCTGGTGTGTTTCCAAAGCATAAATCTGGGGCCAAAGTTAGCCAGGTAGATGGCCATGTCAATGTGCAAAAGGAAATAGAATTTTACCCTATGTGTGCTTGTTATTTCCAGATCTCTCAATGGCACATGACCCGTCAGAGCTACAAACAGTTTCCAAAACCACCAAAGGTAAAACAGATAAGTCTGCATTATTGCAAATTCAGTTTTCATGCTCAGGTGAAAACAGGTAATCAGCAGTGTGGACACTGCTGCATGGCCAAGCAAGGGCAGAGCTTCCCCATGCTGTGTTCTGGGTTGGAGTAGCCCAAGTAGCATCTGACAGTAAGGGGTGAGGGGAGGCAAAAATTGCATGGCGCACGAGGAGAATGAGAAGAAGCTTGGGGAGTTGGGCGAGGAGTAGAGCCTGTGGGGAGCTCGGGGTTGGAGGGTGCAGGTGGCAGTGAGGAAGGAAGTCTGTAGGGGGAAGAAGTGGGGAGGGGCAGAAGGCAAGGGGCCACCTGACTACCCTCCAACCACTGCTTTCTCTGCTGTAGAAGTGGGGAGGGCAGGATTCAAGACAACTTTCCAAAGCTTAGTGCATCTATACAAGTGCTGGACATCTGCTTCGACATGGGCTAATTAGTTTGCATCAGAGCGGACTCTGTTGACTGAGTCTGCCGGAGAGTGCTCATTCGCACACTCCAGCAGCCTCTATGTCACATGTATTCAACATCCCTGAGCTTAAAGATAGTGGCGGGAACACTTTAACTAAAGCTCATTGAACAACCTTTAGTTAAAGTGCCCCCACCCCACCCTTTTGAAGCATGGGGTGTGAATACACATGATACTGTAGCCCAGGGCCATGGCGGGGAGTTATTTTGGCTGGAGGGCTGCTTAATGAGTTTTGGTGAGCTGCTGAGGGCTGCAAGGGTAGCCTGCCCCTTGACACCCTTGACAGCCCTGCAACCCTGACAAGTGCCACGCCCCATGGCCGCAATCTTGGGCCCAGAAGTCCCATCCCCTAAACCCTGACTTTTGCCACCAGAAATCCCTCCCCTTCCCCTGGCAGTACTCTGCTTGGTAAGGGGGTTCATCATCTTGGACCTTGAAAAAAACAAATTATATATTAAAAATAAAAAATCCACAATACATATTTTAATTTTATTTTTAAAATCTTTTGTCCTGATTTGTGCATGTTTGTGTTGTGTATATACAAGTGATTGCATAATAGTTGAAAATGAAGTCTTATTTTTGCATACTGTGGGTGGTGTGGAGGGTTGTGGGGGGGCTTGTGTGGCTGTGTGTGTATGTGGGATGTGGGGGTATGTGTAAATGTGGGTGAGTGGATATGGGGGATTGTGGGCAGTGTGTTTGTGGGGATGTGTGTGTGTGGGTATGGGGTTTGTGGGGTGTCTGGAGGAGAAGGTGGCTGGGTATGTGTGTGGGGGAGTGGGGGTGGGGTGTGCATGGGGTGGTGTGGGTGCTTGTAGCAGTGAGTGGGGTTCCCTCTAGAGGCACGCAGATATGTGTGTGCAGGGGGTGGAGAGTGTGGGTGGGTGCGGCATTTGTGGGGTGTGTGACTGTGTGTGGGAGAGTGGAGTTTGTCAGGGAGGGTTTGTAGGCATGGTGAGGTGTGCATGGGAGCTCCCCTAGACATGCCCCCTGAGCTGGTTAGCACAGCCCCCGTCCCACAACATCGTGGAGCCTGTGCACCCTGTGGTGCCTCCCTACCACTGCCAGCAGCGGGCAGCCCAGCCCTGCCCTACACCTTCTCCAAACTTACTGTGGTGGGAACAGATCAACAGGAACCCGTGGCATAGCTCCAACCCAGCACACCCCGTACCTGCTGCAGACTCACCTGCTCATGCTGAACAGCAGCTGCAGCAGTGCTGGTCAGGCAGAAACTGTGGTTCAGCATGGAGGAAAAGCAGCCTCTCCCCCTCAGCACTGCCCGGCACTCCCAGCTACAGCCACATGGAGCCCGTGCTGCAGCTCCATCACTACCACCACCCCAGAAGCAGTGCAGAGATAGCAGTGCACAGGAGCCGCAGGAAAGCCTGGGGCGGGCTCTGGCTGGCTGCAGCAGAGAGTGCTGGGCAGTGGTGATGGGGAGGGCTTACAGAAGCTGGGCTTGCTGCTTCCAGGACAAGTGTGCCAGTTATGGCTAAAACATGGGAGGGCTGTCATCCTCTTATGTATCAGTTTTCTGGAACATAAAATCGTGTGTGTCTGTGCATAGCTACAAATGTATGCACCGCGTGTCCATCCAGAGCATAAAGTCTTGGCCAAGAATGGCCAGGTACATGCTTAGAAAACTGCCATTTATATGTGCAAAGAGAAATCAAATTCCACCCTATATATTTTTGTTATTTTCAAGCCTCCCAACTTCACAAGGGACATCTGAAGTAAAAACAGTCTCCAAAACCTCCAAAGGTAAAACAAATAAGCCCATGTCACTGAAAATTCAGTTTCCGTGCTCATATAAGAGTCTGCTTAGTTTAAGGAAAAAATGGCTAGTACAAGATCTCTGATCCCCGGTTCTGCTGGCGCAGCCTGGAGGTCCCCAGTGCCTGATGAACAAACTCTGCAGTTCTGTCTTCTCTAGGGCTTCTGCTGGGACCAGAAATGGGAGCCTGGTCTGCTCACCTGACTTGCGAGTACCAGAGTCAGTGACTGAAAGACATTTGTATCTGTGAATGTGAAGAAAACCTTCCCATTTATCTTTTGTAAACTGAGACAGCATCGTTAAACTTGCAGATATCATTACAATAACCCCTACATTCAGGGGCACATCACTTCTCAATACACGACCCATGAACTGGATGTTTTTGTGATTCTTAATTTCTTTTCATTTGGGCAATTTCAGAAAAGGTCCTTTGCCATTTTCAAATATCTGAATGGGGCAAGAAAAAGGGATTTTTTCCTGCTATGGCTTTTTCCAGATATGCATTTGTTCTCAAAACAGCTGCTTACTGAAAGAGTGGACATGGTGTCTCATTGGCCAAGCCCCAGAGCGTTGGCTCCATGGAACAGACTAATACTATGACACAGCCCTGATGGTTTGAACTGGAGCTATACAGTAACCAATGATACTGTGTCCCATGGCCCTTGAGCCACTGTCCCATATTTCCTCCATCTCAGGTTCTCACCCAGTGCCTAGCAATGGCAGGAAATGTTTCTTTTGGTGCACTGCAGCTCTCAGTGGCCTCTGTATGGCCATATCATGCCCCTGGTGCTCACTGCATCTGCACACTTAGAAAGACTCCAGCTGCCAAACCTTCCTCCCCGACCTCCCAAGCAGTTGCCTGGGGACTATGCAGAGAAGCAGCTGGCTCTAAGGGCCGCTTCAGTCCAGCCACAACTGTTATGCTGGTCTTTGGTTCCTCCACAGAACATCCTCTGCTGGTGTTAGCCACCCTGGCCCCTGAGGATCCCTGCTGCTCCACTGAGGGTGGAAACAGACATTGTCTGAAATTTTTATGGCAGCACAGATGCTGAGCAAATAGACATCAGTACCCTTTGTTGCACCACACAACCGGAAATCAGTGGTGAAACAATAGGCAGTAATAGACTCTCCCACTTTATTGTGGCAGATGTGTATTACCTTGTGGTGCATTACCTGCTCAGCCAGCCCTGCAGATCTGGCTTGGCAGGGAAATCTCTGCTTTCCCTCCCTGCCTAGACCCACACCATTGGTCTGCCACAGTGGAGAAAACTGGGGAATGCAGGGAGATCACATTTCCCCTTGTCCTGCACCATCAAGGGACAAGAGGCAGTGCATGTTTCACCCAGTGACGTGGATCAGCTGTGCATGGACATATTGCAGCACAGCTGATCTGCTCCATTCTGCAAGGTCTGTTTCTTGCCTGCGAGTCCAGACAGATGTCAGCTGTGTCTTCCACTCTTATCTGAGAGATCTGCAAAGGGCACTGTCCTCACTGCTGTGTGATACAAGTGATTTTTCTGTACTTGTGTCCCCTCCTGCAGGCTGCCCCTTCGGCTGGACAGAAAACAGAAAGAGTTGCTACTTCTTTTCTGGAGATAGGGACAAAAAGAGCTGGAATGCCAGCATGGAGGAATGTAACAAGAATGGCTCCAAACTTGTAATTATCAACAGCAAAGATGAACTGGTAAGATGGCCACCCCATCCCTAATGCCTGTTGAGATAAATGGTAATGATCCCTGTTTTTTGCACTGGCATCTTCCAGTGCCCTCAGATGTCTAACTCACAGCCAGACATGCTCATTCAGCTCTGGGTGGAGATCTGGGTGAGGGGGACACTACCACACCACAGTAAGAGCACTGTTTGGGAGGGCCTCTGCTAAAGCAAGAAAATGGCTCTCATCCCAAAAGAGAAAGGTCCATGTAGGGATTCAGAGGATCTTTGCTGGACTAACAAACCTGGGATAATTACATGGGTATAACTAATAACACTTTCATGTCTCAACAACCCCTAAGCCAGAGGCCCTGGGGACAGATCTTCTGGAAATGGGGATAGGACCAGTGAGAGGCTCTGCCAGTGCTCTTTGAGCCACAAACCTTTACAGACCCCTTTAGCTCCAGCCTGACCCCGCTCCCATATTGGCCCTTACTCCCTGATTGGTGGTGTGGTACCCTCCGCCCCAAAACGGGGAGGGACTGTCTCTGGGGAAGGGAGAATTTTCTGGCCATGACATCTGTTTTCATTTCCCTTCTAGGACTTTCTCAAAGGAATGTCAGAGGGTGGCTACTATTTCCTTGGCCTGACATACTCCAACACCAAAGGGAAATGGAATTGGATAGATGACACAGAGCTCAATACAGACATGTAGGTGCATTTCTGCTTATCCTTGTAGACAGCTGCAGGGAACGTCAAGGAGCCTGTATGTGAAGACTGCAGAGCCAGCCACAGCTGTACAGACCCCAGGCTGGGATTCCCCTGCTAGTGCTGGCTTAAGAGTATCTTGCCTATCTTCAGGCCAGGAGAGGGGTCCATGTGGGGCATAACTCTGAGACTGTTCTTGGGGAGTGGTGGGAGTCTGTGGCAGACAGGTGGTGGCAGTGAGCAATTCAGTTATGAGGCACACAGGTAGCTGGGTTTGTGATGCCCAAGAGGACTGCATGGTGACCTGCCTTCTGGGTAGGTAGTGGACCTTGCAGGATGTATAGGTAGGCTGTTAGGGCTGGGAATAAGCTGATGATTGTAGTCCATGTGGGTACCAATGATGTGGGTAAGGGAAGCAGAGAGGTCTTGGAAGCTAAATTTATGCTGCTGGGTTGGAAGTTGAAGCCCATGTTCCCTATGGAAGCATTCTCAGAAATGCCCCCAGTGCCCCGTGCAGGGCCATGTAGACAGGCAGAGCTCCAGCGCATCAATGCGTAGCTGAGACAGTGGTGTAAAGAGGAAGGGTTTAGGTCTATTAGGAACTGGGGGACCTTTTGAAACAGGAGGATCGTGTACAGAAGGGATGGTTTCCACCTGAGCCACAATGGTACTACACTGCTAGTATGTAACGTTTAAAAAGTGGTAGGGCATGCTTTAAAGGAAAAGCAGGGGGTGAGGGGGAAGTTGACAGGTGCAGAACAGCACACAGTTCGGACTGAAACACCCTATAGGGATAAGAAACAGTGTGAAGACAACACAAGAAAACAGCTCTAATGAGTAAAAAGTTACACGGAAGTACCTAGGGTTACCATACATCGGACTTTTCCTAGACGTGTCCTCTTTTTTGGTCCTCCCATCTCCATCCAGTCATTAAAAAAAAAAATCAACAAATGTCCAGGATTTTGGTCACTTCAACATCGAAGTTTTTCCCAACACTTCCCCATCTGCCCTAGCAAGGAACTGCTTGGGGCTGGAGGGAGCAGGGGGAGAGAGAGAGAGAGAGTGTGTGTGTGTGTGTGTGTGTGAGAGAGAGAGAGCAGAGGTTGGTGCTGCCAATGCTAGGGGAAGGTGTCTGGATGCTGGGTCTGCAGCAGGGTGGGGGAGGTGTCTGACCCTCCTGCGGGGGACAGTTAGAGAAAGCAGTTGTGGGGGGGCACTTCAGGGCCATCAGGGAGCTTCATTGGCCAGCTGGCAGCACCAGAGCCAGTGCCCTTCCTCACAGGGGCATGGCAGCTTGGAGATGCTGCAGGGCTAGGAGGAGCAGGGGGCTGCAGGTCAGGAGTGAAGGGCACTGTCAGGCTGGGGGTGCTGTGGCTTGGGAGTAAGGGGTGCCAGGAGTGTGGGGGACTGTGCATTGGGAGCACAGGGCACAGGCAGTGCCAGGGGGCTGCGGATTGGGTGTGACAGGCATCAGTGGAGACAGGGGGGCTGCAGGTTGGGAGCAAGGGGCACCAGCATGGTCTGGTGGGCAGGGGAATGTGGATTGGTGGGGGTGGGGCTATGGCTTGGGACTGAGAGGCAGGGGCAGGGCATGGGCATATCACTGCTCCACCCCCAATCATATTTTGCTCCCCGCTTCTCCAACAGGTGTTGTCTTTTTGAAACTAGAAATATGGTAACCCTAGAAGTAACTAACCAGAGAACAAGAAAAACTACACATGCAAGTCTAGGATGAAAGATGGGGGAAGTTGAATGCTTAGCAGTAAATAATAATATTAACATATTAGGTATCTCTGAAACATTGTAGAATGAGGAAAATCAATTGGATGCTGTAACAGCAGGATACAGATTATACAGGAACGAGAGAGTAGGTTGTACTGGTGGGGCACACTACATCAGAGACTGCATTGAATCAAATAGTGGAGGTTTTTCAATTGATAACTGAGGTACTGTAGAACCTTTGTGGACAGAAATCCTGGGTTTCAATAGAAAAAAGTACATCTAGGGATATACTATCCCCCTCCGCCCCCCAAACCAGGCTGACAGCAGAGAGCTAGAAATGCTAAGGGAGTTGAGAGAGGCTGTGACAGCAGACAATGCAGTAAAAATGGGGGACTTTATTGGGGAGCAGTTAGTCCTGGAACCTACAGAAGGAAATGTCTTTAAGGACATTAGAAGCTGAAGACTTGCCAGGGAGCCTTAGAGCTCAGCTTCTCAGCTGAGCCTTTGGATGCTCAGGATGTAAAAGGGGCACTAGAGAATGACAAGACAGTTGCTGAAAAGCTAGGGCATTCGTTGCATCTGTTTCCACTGTGTATCATGTTAGGAAAATTCCATCAACAGGTCCACTTTTCTCTAGGGACAAATCAGTGGAGTTGATCCACGCTGAGGTTTCAAGAAATGAGGTGCAAGAGAAAATTGATAAACTAACCAGTAGTAAATCACCAAGACCTGATAGCATTCGCCCTAGGGTCTTGAAGGAGCTCAGGTCGGAAATTGCCGAACTCCTAACTGTAGTATGCAACTTATCTCTAAAACAGACTCGGTACCAGAGGATTAAAGGATTGCCAATGTGACTCCCTTATTTAAGAAAGGCTCTAGAGGGAGTTCAGGGAACTGCAGGCCAGTGAACCTAACTTCTGTTCCTGGAAATAGGTAGAAACAATAATAAAATATAATTGTTCAGCACATGGATAAACATGACTTTCTGGGGAGGAATCAACATGGCTTTGTCAAAGGGAAATCACGCCTCCCCAACTTGCTAGAATTTTTTGAGGGTGTCAATAAGCAGGTGAGGTGAGGTGATCTAGTTGACATAGTATAGTTGGACTTCCAAAAAGTCTTTGACCAGGTCCCCCATCAGAAGCTCTAAACTAAGTTCAGTAGTTCAGGGATAACAGGGAATATCCACTAGAAGTTGGCTTCAAGATGAAAAACAAAGAGTGAGTATAAATTGCCAGTTTATAGGGTGGAAGGAAGGAAGCAGCAGGATCCCACAGGGATCTGTACTGGGACCAGTGCTGTTTAATATATTCATAAATGATCTGGAAAAGGGAGTGAGTAGCAAGGTGCCCAAATCTGCAGATGGCACAAAATGGTAAAGTGGTAAAGACCAAGGACTTACCACAAAGTGGTAAAGACCAAGGCTGACTGTGGATCTACAGAAGGATCTGACACTATTGAGCAAATGGGCAACCAAATGGCAGATGCAATGCAATGTAGATGGATATGAAGTGATGCACCTGGGCAAAAATAACCCAAACTATATGTACAATATAATGGGCTCTCCATTAGCTGTTACCACACAAGAAAGAGATCTGAGAGTCATGGTGGACAATTCACTAAATCATCAGCTCAGTGCTCAGCACCTATCAAAAAGGCAAACAAAAAGTTAGGGATTTTTCAGAAGACAATTGTAAATTGAACAGGAAGTATCATCATGGCCCGTAACAGAGAACCCTAGCCCTGTTACCAGGAAGCAGGGTGGCCTTATAACAGGGAATCCTGGCCATCCCTTTAAATGCAGGACTTTCCAGGCGCAGTTGTCCAGTCGAGCAGGGGCTAAGGGTCGAGCCCTGCCAGCTGGTCAGGTGACCGGAAGGCAAAGGCCAAAGCCATAAAAAGGTCAGGAGGAGAAGGCCGGGGGGCAGCAGAGAAGGGGAGTATGGAGAAGCTGTGGCAGCCTCCTCAGGAAGAATGTGACAAGCTGGGAGACAGAAGCACAATCGCATGTAAGCAGGCAGTATGCCTCCCCTACCTCTGTTTTCTTTATATGGCCACAGCGGCCTATTGTTTACATGTAATATTAAGTCCAGTGGTTGGAGAATGAGGCTGTAGGGGAGGAGAAGACCTCATTAGTGCCAAAGAGCACTGTGATAGAGGGCTGCACTAGGGGTGCGGTACTAGGACCACAAGCCCAGAGTCGCTTGAAGGGAAGCTAGGTGCCTTGGAGCTGGGTCCTAGTGGGTGGGCTTAGGTGAACAGCTCTAACTACAGAGAGAGGGGCAAAGCTGGAGGGGTCCAAATCCCTAACAGCTTGGCACCACAGGGGCGCAGTGTAGAAAGGCCAGTAGGCCTGGTGTCGTGGAAAGTATGAAATGGAGGGCTGTGAGCCCGAGCAGGTTAGAGAGCTGGAGTCTTGGAGTCAAGCCCTACCTAGTGGGTTTTGGCTGACAGGCCTAGCTAGAAAGAGAGGAAATAAGCCCACAGCGGCTGAGACCCCAACATAAGGAGAAAATTATGAAACATCTGAGTGGCGTGGGGCACGTCGAGGGAAAATCGAAGTGTGCATCTTGCCTTTAAGGCAACAGCTCATTATGCTATAGGTGGTGAGCCTTAGGGCCCATCTGAGAGCCTTTGGGTCAGCTTCCCTCTGTAAGAACCAAGTGGCATCAAGTCATGGCAGACGAGCAAAAGGGGGAAGCTGGTCCCCAGCGGAGGAGGAAAATATAGCAGGACTTCAAGGGTGCCCCACTCATCGACCTTTAAAAATGTCACCGGAGATGGCACCCTGTTACATGCCCCTTTATAAATCCATGCTATTTCTATACCGTGAAGACTATGCCCAGTTCTGGCCCCCACAATTGAAAAAGGTTATTGAAGAAGTAGGGAAGGCCCAGAGAAAGACAACAAGGATGATTAGTGGTAGGGAGGGGCTTCCATATGAGGAGAGACTAAAGAGGTTAGGCGTATTCAGTTTAGAAAAGAGACACTTGAGGAGGAACATGATGAGGGTTTACAAAATACTGAAGGGTGAAAAAGACAGCAAATGGGGATTTATTATTTACTCTCCCTCACAACATAAGAACTAGGGGTCATATAATGAAATGGCTAGTAGTAAGTTTGAAACGAAAAGAAGGAAGTACTTTTTCACACAGCATGTAATTAAAATGTGGAGTACATTTGCACCAGATATTGTGGAAACTGTCAGTTTAGCTAGATTCAAAAAGGGACTGGACAAATTATTTGAGGAAAGAGACATCAGTATCGGTTGAGCACGGGAGTTAGAGATACAGCCCCGGAGTCAAAACTTCCTAGACCTTAAAGTCTGGAGGCTGCAAGTCAAAGAAAAACAGTGGGAAAAACCTCTGATCATACCCAGTTCACTCCTCCTTTCAGCATCTACTCTCTGTCACGGTATGACATAGGATCTTGGCAAGAAGGACCTATGGTCTGACTCAGTAAATGCCAGTTCTTATGTCCTTATGTTCCTATGTCTGCTGGCAGTGACATTTGGCATCGGTCATCTTCAGTTTGGACAGGCCTGGAAATGGGGAGAAGACCCAGAATTTTCTGTAGATTGATTGAGGCAGAGGCATGTGTGCCTGGAGTGCGTATCAGAACAGAGCTTGGTGCTGAGAAGTGGTTGTTCAATGTGATCCTATCCCCTCATACAGAAAGGGCATCAGGCCAGGAATAGCTCTTGGAAGGGAAAGCCAGGGACTGTCAGGTGGGTTGGGACAATGGGAAAGAGACCAATGAATGCTTCTGTGGAGCAGCTGGCCAGGACAAAAAAACACAGTTGCACAGTGCCTGGGCCTATATCTCCCTGCAAGTGAACATCCATCACTTTGCATTGGACTTTAATACTGTAACACAGGAAAGAAATGGGACTAAAGAGAGGCTCTGTTTCTTTTCCTCTGCCTGTTCAGATTCAACATAGCGCAGAAGTACTCTGACTATTGCTGTGCTGTTGTGGGACACAACAAGGTAGCGAGTGCTAATTGCAATGGATCCTCATCAAGCAACTATATGTGTGAGAAACCTATGGAATAATCCAGATGTTCCAGGAAGGGGAATATCCCCAGACAAAGGGAAAACTCACAAGGACTTCCCCCAGACACATTCACTAATATACACGCAAACACACACATGCATAGGTGCCAGCTCCATCTCCTCCTCACATATTAGGATCAGAAACATGTATAAACAGACTTTTCCACATTCACACATGTCATCCAAAACAGCCCCTCCATGCACAGCCTCACACAAGTGTATACACACAGACCTGTGGTCTCATCTGTGTGCAAGCGCTATCATGCTTGCAAGTGTTTGAGCGTATTCTACAGAGGAGATGGCACAGCCACATGTGAGAGGGCTGTCCACTTGTGCAGCCTATAGCCATGTTTTGCCTTAACCTAGAAGAAAGTATTCTTTGTGGTGTGTGGAAACATGAGTGTATATGCCTTTCTGCCCCATTGCCATGTTGGAATTACTGTGACCTCTCTCTCGTCCTCCCCACTCAACTGTCACTCCACGATAGTAAAATGGTACTCAGGAGAATGGATGATTCTCTGAGCAGAGGTCATGCTGGCAGGGTCACCGGTCTTCTGCAGGGCTGCACCTCCCCTACACCATGCCCCTTTTCTCTCAGGCTGTTGGTTCTAAGTGTGAGATGCCCAGTACAGTCTCCTCTCAAGCTCAGCTGAGTTCTTTGCTCCACATCTTCTCAACATCTGTTTCCTCTGGTCAAATCCCTCCTTGGCTTAACTAATCAGGTTACACTTTGCCCACCTTCTCTTCTCTCTCTTTCTCTCTTCGTTATCATCTCTATATCTTTCTTTGTGGAACTCAATGTTTCTGTAATTATTCCTGGATCAACTTATTGAATGCTTTCTTGTCTCTTCTAGTAGGGCTGTGCGAAGCTTAGGGTGGTGATTTGATTCAGAGGAGATTCAGCCGGATTCGGTGGCCGAATCTCCAAATCTGACTCAAATCAAGGGAGCAATTTAAAGGTCTGAATCGATTCAAGGCTCTTCAAATCTTGGGAAAAGATTCAGAGAGCTTTGATGATTCGGGCAGTCCTTGGTGTCTGCAGCCAGCTCTAAGCTAGTAAGTACTAGGGGAAGGGGAGGGCGGGCTGGGGGAGGGGTGAGGGGACCGGTCAATCACATGAA